GCTCTGACAGCAGGCTTCCCTGGAGTCAGGACAGCCAGGGGCGGCTGAGATCTGAAGGAAGCGCAAGGGCTGCTGGAGGCTGCAGCTTGGCTCCAGCCAGCTAGCTGCACCTCCAAAGCCCCCCGGGACCTGACCCCCTTTCAGCTGGCAGGGGGAGGAGGGGGCTGGGTAACCGGAGAGCCGGCCTGCTCTATTATTAATCACAACACCGGAGCCCAGCAACCGGAGCCCCGGGGCCGCCGGGAGCCCGTGCGCAGGGTGGGGGCCACGCTCAATGGGGCGTTTGTGTGCCTGGCTCGTGTGTGGTTTTGGGGGGACACTCCCGGCTCCGGGCTGAACAGTGCCTGCATTGTGCGGGGCAGCGGGGCTGGCGGCAGGGCCAGGTGCTCCAGGGATGAGTCACTTCCCCTCGCCCGGAGCCGCATCGTTCCTCCCCAACCGGTCCCAGAGCATCCCGCATCCCGGGGCGGGCGAGACCCTCCCTGCCTAGGGTGGTGCTGAGCTGAGGGTGGAGGGCAGGACCTGGCTCTATGGCCAGGAGCAGAGCAGCACAGGGAAAGGGGGCATGATCTGCTGTGCAAGTCACACAGGAGCACCGTGCTGTCACATGTGTGCCATGCAGCGTGTGCATGCCCCGTTCCTAGTGTCTGGGGAGGGAGGCTCCCAGTCATACATGACCCAGCCGTGCTGTCTTGTGTGGGCCTGGGAAGGCAGAGGGTCAAGTATCCTCTGGGCTGGAGAGCATGGGGCATCCCTGCAATGCCAGGGGAAGACGATCATGGGTGCTTCCATGTGCCGGGAACGCATCCACATCCTCTGCTCATGGGCACACACCAGGTCATGCAACAGGGTCACGCAGGTGCAAAGGTTCCCTGCAGAGAGCAGACAGCCCGTGCCTAACGGCATGTGCCACATGGACCAGGTGTGTTGGCTGGTGTCACACGTGTCGCTTCATGTGGAACTCGGGACCCTTCAGCACCCAGGAGGGTCCTGAACGGCCCGAGTGGCTGCAGCCCCCAGCTCTGCCCGCTGCTGTTGCACACGGCCATGCCAATGCCTTGCCCCTGGCCTGGTTGACCCACGGCCCGCCGACGCTCTCCCCCGGGGTCTCACCTGCCTTTGAAGAAGGCCACGTAGAAGGGCGAGGAGTAGAAGTTGACGAACTGGAAGATGAAGACCTTGAAGGTGAAGGCATCTTCATGCAGGGTCTGGGTCCGGTGCATCTCTGTGGAGAGGTTATGGCCTTGTAAGCGAGTCGGCCCCGTGACCACCCGAGCTGCTCGTCCCCGCGGCTGATGGGCAACAGGTCGAGGGGTGGACGTGCCAGTGCCTGGCGCCTGGAGGAGGCTGAAGGTGCCACCTGCCCTCGCAGCCCAGAGGGTCCAGGTCCTGATCCTGGCGCCCAGCTGCCCACACAGCTGCTGGGACACTGGCACTGCCTACAGGGAATCAGTTCCCCAGAGGTCCCTCAGGGACCAGCCCTGAGCCAGCTGGGCTGTGGCAGGGATGCTGCCTGCACGGGCCTCGTCCGACTCACCCCACCGCGTGAGCTTCTCCGCCAGGGAGGTGTAGACTTGGCTCATGAGGAGGATGAGCACGAGGTTCACCATGGTGCTGCTGATATTCGCTATGTTCCCGGCCTGCAAAACAACCAGGCACAGCACTGTCCCCAGCCCCGGCTCCATCATCCACAGGTCCACACCGCGGTGGCCCTGGGTACCACGACAGGGAAGGGACAGTGGCATGGGCCTCAGTGTAGGCTAGCAACCCGTGGGGTACCCCCGCCACCTCCGGTGCAGGGGATCTCTCCACCGGCGCGAAGCTGCAGAGTCTCCCCCTGTTACAGGGGAGGGAAAGCCTCAGAGGCAGGGCAGGGAGGGAGAGGACCCCACTCCACCTGCCTTGCCAGGGGGTCCCTTAGGGGCCTGGCACTAATGGCATACCATCAGCCCACAGAAACACCCACGATGCCTCGGCTGCCCCAGCGTGGGTCCCAGGTGATGCTGCGCTGCGGGACGGAGGTGGCTGTGGGTCCCCCCAATCCCTCCTGCAGCACCCGTGGCTCACCTGGGTCATCAGGATGGTGTTGCCCGTGTGGTACATCATCATGCTGACGATGCCGCGGTACATGATCACCGAAACCAGGAAGATCATCACCACGCAGAGCTGGAGGAGGAGGAGGAGGAGGGAGGTGTCCAGGGCTGGGACTGGGCAGGGAAAGGCTGTGGGGTCCCCCAGGGCAGAGAGATCACTGCAGCAGCCTCCCACACAGGTCCCAGCCCTGCCCCAGGGGGACCCCGTCGCCTTAACCAGACCTTTCTCCAAGCTCCTAAAAGCTTCTGCTCCCCAGGAGCCAGAACCCAGCCAGCTCAGGTCAAGCCTTGCATGGAGAGAGATGGGCAACAGGTCCAGCCCCTTCCCATTATACCCGCTGCATTTCAGCCACTGGAGGTAGCTAGGTGGGAGCAAACCCTGCCACCCTCTCCCCAGCTTCCCATGCACGACCACTGAGCTGCGGTCCCTGCTTGCTGTGCGGGGCAGCGATTGGCATGGCCTGTGAGAGACGTGCTTGCTGGGTCTCAGCAAACCCCAGGGCAAGAGCAGGCACATGGGCCCTGACCACGGAGCAGTGGCAGCATGTCTCTAGCCTCTTGCTGCCTCTTGCCTTTGACTGCATCTCTGCCTTGAAGGGCAAGGTCCAGGCTGGCCCCCAGATGCACGGGCCAAGGGCAGGGCAGCGTCCCGCGGGCCCCTTACCATGATGACGATGGCCATGGAGCCCGTCAGGATGCGGGAGAGCCGGGCGCGCTCCGGGAAGTAGGGCTCCTTCACGCCCGTGACGGGGTTTTGCTCCATCTGCGGTGCCATGGCAGCGAACTCTGGCCTGGGCCGCTCCTGCAGGGAGGGGAAATAGAGGCTGAGCCCCTTAGCCCAAACTGGTGGGGGGGACAAGACAGTGCCTCCTTGCAAGCCTGGAAGCTGGGGGTGGCCTTGCAGATGGAGCAAAGACCAGCACCCAAAGCGGGGGGTCTGGGTGAGCCCGAGCTTGGAGGCTGCAGGGAGGGGAGGAGAGTGCCTGCAGCCGCTCCGCCGGGGGCATGCTCCCCATGCACCCCGCAGCCCTCGGGGAAGGCAGGCAGAGCTGTCCCACGCCGCCCCAGCTGCACCTCCTCCTCCTGGAAGTCCATGCAGTCCCAGTGATGCGCCAGCGTGGCGTTCGTCCGCTTCCAGTACTCCAGGAAGGTCACGGCCCAGAAGGACATGAAGACGCTGAAGAACACAGTCCCCGGGTGGTCAAAGAGGTAGCCCACCTGCAAGGGCACAGAGGACAGGGGTCACCCGGACGCTGCGCCAGAAGCCAATGCCTTCATGCCTACCCACCAGCTCAGTGCTGGCATCCCCGGCCTCCGTCCTTCCTGCCAGGCCCAGGGTGGCTGGAAACCCGGAGCCAGCGCCTCCAGGACAGCACGCTGGCCTCCAAAACCCCACAGCCCTGTGCGTGAGGGGAGTGGGGCCGGGTCCTACCTTCGCCATGGGGCAAATCTCAGAGATGTTCCAGGTCTGGCACGTGTCGCAAAGCGGGCACATGAGGAACTGGCCTCCGCTCTCACAGATCTCCTGCCTGCGGGCAGCAAGCGTGGGCAAGTCAGGGGGAAACTGGCTCGCACGGCCCCTCCAGACCCCCCGCCCCACATGCACAGATGTGGGTGCACGCACACGGGAACGCACTTAGGGCGGGTTTGCCAGGCTTGGCTGCGGCAGCCAGAGAAGCCACCCGTCGCTGCACCTACCTGCCTTCCACCACCCCTGGACACAGCTGTCCTATCTGTCCAGCCATCCGCCCACCCGTTTGTCTGTGTGTCCATCTATCCATCCATCTATCCCTTCATCTGCCCGCCCGCCCATCCATCCATCCATCCATCCGCATGTCTCTGTTCATGCACCCATCTGCCCCCCCACGCATGCACACACACATACCCTCACGCACATGCACATGCACACGGACTCACGCTGGCGTGTTGGTTCCCATGGTGACCAGGCCTGCTAGGAAGACGAAGGTGCCCACGGTGGCGGCAGGCAGCAGCCAGGCGGTGTAGAAGCCTGCGGAGGGGGAAATGCATGAGGCAGACCCCCTAGTCCTTCATCAAGCACTTGGGAAGGGCCGCTGTGTGCCCAGGCATCAGGGTTTTCACCCCAGAGTGAGTGTCAACTCCCCAGGGGTTCTCCCTGCTCGTGCCTCAGTTTCCCCAGCTATAAAATGGAAGAGGACGGTCCTGGCAGGACTAGGCTTGGGAGCAAGGCTCTCCACACCCCTTGCAGCCAGGTCTCCAGGACACCTCCACCTCTGCCGTCTCTCTCCGTGCCCCATGGGGCAGGCAGGCACCAAGGAGATGCATCAAGGCTGTGAGCCCACAGCCCGTGGGATTGGGGATCCCTGCCCCAGACCCCCTCTGCCCTGGTTGCTGTGGGGGAAGGATGCCACGCACCCACAGCACAGAGCCTGCCCAAAGCCCTGGCCATAACACTTTGGGTGTCAGGTGTATATGACACCACAGAGCAGGAAGCGAGGGGGGGTCACACACTAGCACAGGGGTTAAAGCCGGGATGAGGTTCCCTCTCGGGACCCTATGGGGTGGCTAGCTCCGTCCCTACCCCACCTGTGCCCAGCTGCAGCCTAGGCACAGAGACCCCCATCTGGGCATCGCAGCCAAGCTGCGTCTCTGCAGACCCGGGGGAGAGGCAGGGCTCGCAGAGGGGGGCGGCGTGTCTCACCCAGCCAGGCGAAGTAGATGGCAATCTTCTCCCCGAAGTACTCGCGGATGTGGTCCAGGGGCTGGTACTGGTACCAGCAGCACCACTGAGCCCAGAAGTGGTACAGGACCTGGCGCGGGTTCAGCTCCTCACCCGGCACCTCATACTCGGGCATTTCGAAGGGGCCCTGGAGCCAGCAGCAGGTCTCAGCCAGGGGGGAGAGGCGAGTGCATGGCCTCCCCCGCTCCCCGCAACCAGGGCACGGGAGGAAGGCAGCAGAGGCTCCGGGTAGGGGCCACTGCCCAGCCCCTACCTCGTGCAGAGGGAAGGCCGCGGTGTAAACGCCCTCGTTCAGCAGCCGCTCGATGCCGACCTCAGCGTGCTTCCGTTTCCCGTAGACGGTGCGTGCCAGGATCTCGTACACCTGCCGGCACAGGGGGCATCAGCCCGGGGCCCATGCGACCCCAGTGGGGACTCCTAAAGCACTGCCAGGCCACAGCTGTCGGGCATCAGGCCCCGCAGTGGCAAGGCAATGCTGCTGGACCCAGAGAGGTCCCCCCGACCCTCCCCCAGGCAGCCACCGACCCCCTGAAGCAGAACCGCTGGCCCCTGCGGGCTAGCACGTCCTCCCCGCTGCTCCCCAGATGCAGCCCCCGGGTGCGAGCGGCTCCTTCCCGAGGAGACACCCCTGGGAGTGACTGGCCAGGCAGCCTGTGAGCTGGGGGCTCAGCCTGCCCCCCACTTACAATGCGGTGCCTCTGGGTGTGGGTGAAGTAGGTGTCCCGGGAGTCGCTGCCCAAGAACCTGCGGTGGGAGGGAAAGTCCCCTGTTAGAGGCAGGGGAAGAGGGGACCCAGGCAGAGACGGGACGTGCCCGGGTGTCGGGTGCTCCAGCCTCCGTGATCACCCCAAGCGGGCACCGCCTCTGTGCCTGGCATGGTGGACATGCAGGGAGTGAGGACAGCAGCGCCTCTCCGGGCCTGGAAACCAGCCGCCAGCTCCGCCACAGGCGCTCTGCGTGCCCTTGGGCAAGTCACAGCCTCCATGGGCCTCGGTTCCCATCTGTGCAATGGGAACAAGGCCCTGCCTTGTATGCCACCCCCGGGCACGACAGCCGCAGAGGGGCACGAGGTGGGGCCAGGCCCCCTCGCTCCTCCCGGGAGCAGGGCAGGGCGGATGCGGGGCTGGGAGACCCCAGACCGGGGCGCGTAGAGGGCACTCACTGGCATCCCCCAGCACTCAGCGAGCGGAAACCTCCTCTCGAGTCCCACGCAGCCTCTGAAAGCCTTTCAGCTCCATTTCCACCATCACCGCTTAAAAGCCGGCTGCTGGCTCCCAGGGGACCAGGGCTCGGCTCTGCCCAGAGCCTTCCCAGCAAAGCTGCGGGCGGGGGATTTCCAGCACGCTGTCCCCTCCCGCCCGAGCTGGGGCCCCTGGCGAGGGCCGAGACCCCCAGCGGGTCCCGACTCACCTGTCCAGCTTGGACTTGCGGAAGGCGCAGGGGTAGAAGTCCGAGGGCTTGTTGGGCACCCGCTGGTACATGGGGTTGGGGACCCGCAGCCGGCGCAAAACCTCGTCTGAGCTGTTGCAGTCGGGGTTGGGCTGGGCCTGGGGGGCACAGAGGGACCGTCGGGGGCTCTGAGGCAGCAAGGAGGGCACCAAGACTGGCAGGGACGGCCGCCTCGTGCCCCTGCCCGGGAGAAACCCCAGCTTCAGATGGCCCCGAATTCCCGGCAGCACCCACCTGGAGGGGGGCCCGCAAGCACAGCTCCTCGGCGTAGTACACCAGCACGTCCCAGGGCGCGCTCAGCTTCAGGTAGTGGATGGTCTTGCGCTCACTCAGCGTCTCCTCCTGCATGGCGTGGAGGGGGGCAGCTGAGCCGGAGCGCCCAGGCGGGTGCAGCCGGGTCCGGGAGCCCTGCGGACACGCGGGGCCGGTCCCCCCGGAGCCGCGGTCTCACCTTCTCCGTGAGCAGCCCGGCGCCGCGCAGGTTTTTCAGGAACTTCCTCTTCCATTGCTCGTGGCGCTCCCGCGGCCGCCCCTCGCATGGGGGCTGCTTGGCCTTCCTCTTCTTTGGGGGGCGCAGCTTCTCCTCCCAGACCAGCACGAAGTCTGTGGAGCACAGCGAGGGGCTCCAGCATCGGGCCCAGGGTGGGAGAGGGCCCCCCAACACTTGTGCTCCCACCCAGCCTGCAGGGACCTGGGGTCCGTCCCCCCCCAGCAGGGCCAGATCCCCGAGGCGGGTTCCCCAGGGCACAACGCCCCTCAGCAGGGGGGCCGGGGGCTGCTCACCGATCTTAGTCGCTCCATCTCGGAAATAGTTGCCCCGGGCAAAGCCGCCGGTGTCCTGGATGTAGATGGGGTCGTCGTCGTCGTCGTCGTCTTCGTCTCCGTCCTGCCGGGCACAACGAGAGGGGAGAGGCAGGTGGGACGGGCTGGTTTGGGGAGGGTGGGGGCATCACTGTGCCCCCAGCAGTTTGGGAGAGGGGCGGCAGAGGGGTCTGCACCCCGACACTGGGTTGGGGAAGAGGGCAGAGCCTCGAACCTGATGGTGCAGACCGGCTCCATCCCCTCCACCCGCACGGGCAGCATCGGGCATCACCCCGGGTCCTGCTCCAGGAGAGCCACAACCCCCCGCAGCCCTGGGTGGCAGGAAGGCCAGGGCCCGATCCCCCTCCCCAGGGGCTTGCTGCGGCCTGGAGAGCAATCCCATGCAATCCCCCCTGCACTCACCAGGCTGGCGTAGGGGCCCCCGTTCTGGAGAGCACCCGGGGAGCCACCCAGCAGGCGGGAGCAGCTCCTCTCCAGGCCACCCAGCAGGCTGGGGTCCGGCTCCTCCGCCTTCTTGCGGGTCATGGCGCTGGAGTCACTGGCGAGGCATCGGGCCCCCAGCGCCGGCCCTTGCCTGGGGGGAGCAGAGGTGTCAGCAGAGGAAGGGGAGCGATCCTGCGGGCTGCCGTGCCAGGCACCCAAGGCCTCTACCCTCCCTGCCCCAGGAGCCTGGTCCAGGGCGCTGCTGCAGCATCCCTGCAGCTGCCCAAGTGCCCAGGCCTCAGCAGCACCCCCGGCCCCCTCCCCAGGCGTGCCCGAGCCCCCAGCACCACCTGGACCCGAGCAGGCTCCGCAGCCGCGGCAGCAGCAGCCGGGGCTGGTATTTATAGAGCACCAATCAGGCAAGCGGCAGGCGCTGCGGGGAGGAGAGGATGCGCGTGGGGAGGGGGTTGCAGCTCCATCCTAGGCAAGGCTCAGCCTAGGTTTCCCTGTCCGGAGCCCCGCTCCCTGCTGTGCCCCAGGGAAGGGCTGAATCCCCCCAGGGAAACTGAGGCACGAGGGTCTGGCCATAAGGAGCCTGCCCCCGTCCTGCTTCCCCCAGTCCCTATCCCCCAGTGCCAACAGCTGAGGCAGGCGCCCCTGCGCCTGGAGCCTGGCGAGGTTCCCTGGGTGCTGGGACCTCCACTCACGTCCGAGGGCCGGGGGGCACGAAATATTCAAGCCACCTACAAGTGGAGCGCGGCAGGGAGTGGTGCCGGCCTCTGCGCCAAGCAAGGTCCGGGGGCAAGGATCCTGCGAGGGGAGCTGAACTCGCCCCTGCCCCCCCAGGAGCAGGTTTCCCAGCCGTGCAAGTGGCGCTGCCCTGCTTTGCCGCAGCCAGGGGCATCGCTTCCCCGGGGCTGTGGCAGCGGTCAGGACTGACTCGGGGGCTATCGGCTTCGGCCCCGGCTGGCTCCGCCGATCCCGATCCGCTCCCCGATCTCTGGGTCTTTCAGGCTCCGCTGGCCAGATGGGGCAGCCGCGGTGCTGAAAGCAAGCCCTGCACACACCACCTCCGCTGCTGTCCTGGCTGCACACGCAGCTCCTCCGTGGGGCTGGGAAGGGCCCGCAGTTGCTGAACTTCCTCACTTGTCCCTCCTCATCTGTCCCCTCCAGGAGCTCCTGCATCTGTCCTCGGCTCCCTAAGGAGCTGGTGGGCCTAGTAACAGCCCCAGCCCATCCCACGACCTGGGGAGACAGCGGAAGAGCTCAGCGGCCCCTGACAGAGGCCCTGGATTGGCACGGCTCCTCTGTTGCCCTGCAGCTGGGGGGCAGCTCATGCCTTGGGCACCTATGGCACTTTCCAGCTGGTGCCTCCATCTCTATGCTCAAGCCTGGACCCTGCGGCAGCACCACCTGCCCGGCGACCTTGGCAGCCACCCCGGAGCAGGGGGAAGGGGGCAGATCAGGGGCCAAAGCTCCCTGGCCTCCCCTGTCCAGGCCACCCCCCCACCTGGTGAGCAGCTCAGTTCTGCTCACCAGGAGCTGGAAACAGACCCTCACCCCCAGCGCTCGCCCAAGGGAAAGACCCCCACCCGTGGCCCAGTGCCAGCCCCAGCAGCTGCTCCGTCAACTCCAATGCCCTCCCCGGTAACATTGGACGCGAGCCGCAGACAGGGGGAGTCGGGATTTAATTGCCTGGAACATGCTCTTTCTTTAATTGCCTGGAACATGCAAGGCCTGGTGGCGGGGCCCCCAGTAGCAGAAGTCCAGAGAAGCCTGTATCGATTCCTCTTGAATCCAGCCAGGGACACTCGATGCCTGCGACGGACAGGGCAGGATGGACATCCCCACCTCCAAACACCCTTCCAGGGGGCTGAACAGTCAGCACTGGGCATCTGGCCATCACGGGCACATCCAGGATGTTGCAGATGCTCTGGTCCCTGCTCAGCTCTGCTGCAGCAGCCTCGTGAAGGCCTCCGACGCCACCTGCCGACAGCACCCAGGGAGCTCTGGGTGTCTCAGCAGGGTCCTGTCTCTTTTGGGCTGGGCAGGGGAGCTGGGATGAGCCCAGCGGCCACCTGGTCCTGATGCCACAGGTGCTCTGCCAGCCCGTTGAGCAGGGGCGCCACCTCCCACAGCCCAGTGCCAGCGTCCGGGGTGCGCCTGCCCACTTGCCGGGGCCCAGCCGCGCTCTGTGCCCGAAACACAGGCAGGTGCCAGGTGCGCTGGAACTCGGCCACGTCCCGCTCCGTGACATCAGCGTGCATGAACTGGTCGAACCTGACGTGGATGTTAAGGAGGCAGCGGCACAGCCTGGGGCTCAGGCCTGGGGGAGGTGGGCACGGATCCTCCCAGGGCCACACTGAGCCCAGTATCACCCCAGCTAACAGGAGGGGAAGTGCAGTGCTTCCTGCATCTCCCCCTCCTCGTGGCTGCTGCCTGGGCCTTGGGGAGGGATCTTGGCAGCTCTAGACTCTGCCCAGGTGGGGAAGCATCCTGCCTGGCTTTGGAGGTCTGATCCCACGGGGACGGACACGACATGGAGCCCAGGACCTCCACCCCTGCCATCCCAGCCACGTTCCCTCTGGCTACGGCAGTGAAACGGGGTGGGGGTGCCGCACAGCCACCCCCCAAAGGATACTTGGTGCCCACAACGATCCTGATGAGGCTTCCAGCATCGCCCACGACACGCGAGATCTGGGCGGGCAGGTCATCGAAGGACGAGCGGTCAGTGAAGGAGAAGAGGAAGAGGATGGCATCTGCCTTCTCCCTGCAGGCCTAAGGGTGGAGGCACAGGGACGGCATGCGTGTAGACACGTGTGCCCATACACATACGTGCAACCCCAGGAGGGAGTCCAGAGCCCACAGCAGGGGAAGGGAGTGATGGGCCAGCAGCCTCGATGCCAGGCTTGGATTTGGAGCTGGGTCCTGCCACCCCGGGGATACCAGACAGGGTGTCTAGAGCTGCCCTGGTGCTTTGGAGCAAAAGGGACTCATCCTGCAGCTCCCTCTTGGTGGCCCACTGCACCCCTCCACTGTGCCTCAGTTTCCCCCCCGTGTGAAACTCCAGTCAGATCGGTGCTGGGCATGAATGGGCCTGGCACTTGCTGCCCCAAGACCCTTTCCCATTGCCAGTGGGCCACAGTGAGTGCCTGCTCATGGCTGAGGGAGGTGGTTCAGCCCTCTAAGGTGAAGCCCTGATGCTCACTGGGGTGCAGGCTGGGCCCAGGTGGCAGCACCCAGGCCGGGTCTCCCGCGGGGGCGGGAAGCCCGGTCCAGCCCCTGCCTAGTCTGACTCACCGGCAGGATGTGATCGAACTTCCTCAGTGCCGCTTCGCCGCAGTCCCAGAACTGGAGGCGGAAGATGACGGCTCGGCCACTCTCTCCCTGCTTGGCCGGCCAGTACACCACCGTCGTCTGGATCCCTGCAATGACACCGCCGGGCCTTGGAGCTCCTCTGGGAGAGCCGCAGGCCCCCTTTTCCGGCTGGAGAGCAAAAGGCACCGGAAAGCAAGTCTGGGGCTGACGGGGAGCTGTGACCCTGCCCAAGTCACAGGGTGGCAGAGCCCTGAATGGAACCCAAGAGTCCGGAGGGCCCTGGCCATCGAACCATCCAGTCCAGCAGGGCTGGCACCTCGACACCCCCTGTTCGAGGGTGTTGTGTCCCTCCCAAAGGCTCGCGTCCCCCCACGTCTCGCTGGTCTGCCCCATGACGCATCCTGGCTCTGGCATGGGCACTCACCCATGGTTTCGTGGTGGGCGCTGGGTACCTCCAGGCCAGCCAGCTTGGCCACCAGTGCCGTCTTCCCCACGCCGCTTTTGCCCGAGACAAACACCTTGTAGCTGGCTGTGTCTGAGGCCACCTGCGGCGGCAGCACTGGCCTCTCCATCAGTCCTGGAAGGAGGAGGCCACCTGATGCCCCGCTGTACCCGCAGAACCCACCACGTGGCCCCAGGGCTGTCTGTCCTCCCGGGTCTCTCCCCTGGGGTCTGAGAGGCTGCTACAACCCGTCTATTTTTGTTTGAACTTGCTTAGGATGCCAGCACAAAAAGCCAGGGCAGGAAGGGACTGTGGGAAATTGGCTGGTCTGAGGCTAAACCAGAGGTCTCTAACCTGCCTCTCAAGACCTCCAGGGCCAGACAGCCCTCTCCCTCGGTACCTCAACCACACTCATGGTGAGGAAGCTCTTTCTCCAGCCCAAATCCCCCTTGTTGCAGGCTAAGTCCGTTAACGCTGTGTCCCACAGCCGACTGCCATCCTCTGTCTAACGAGCCAAGACGAGCCGGCTCCAGTGCATGTGGGTTTATGGACACTGAAGCTAGAGGGAACTTTTACCATCATCTCCTCTGCCCTGTTGTAAGACACAGGGCAGAAAACATCAGCGCTGACTCCTCCATGGAGCCTGAACCCCCGGCTGAGCTGGGCAGGGCTTTCGGGGAGGTGCTTCGAGGGATGCTCCCCAATGCAGCCGTCTCAGCAGCTCATCCCCCGTTGTTAAATCCACGCCTGATTTCTAGCCTGGCTTCAGCTTCCGCGGGCTCAGTCGGCCCTAGGGGGTCCCGTCAAGCAGCTGGGAAACTCATGGTGGCTCATCCAGAGGCCACAAGGCCGAGTACCTGGACTGGGAACGGAGCCCTCCTTTGATTCCCTGCTCTGCCACCAGCTTCCTACCTGACCTTGGGAGGTCACTTTGCCCTGCCCGTGACACAGCTTCCCCACCTGAGATGGGGATAAAAGCAACGATCGCCCCAGGACGATGTGGGTCTTTGTGACCCTTCCATGGCTCTTTCCCGCCAAGCCCATTACAAGCAGCAGGGACAAGCCTTGCACCCCTTTTACCCCTTTCCCACGCCCCACCCAGACTGTCCCATGTACCAGCAAGGTCCTGAATGCAGCAGCTTTAGGTCCCCAGTGGATCCAAAAGCCCCCTCCCAGCCCCACTGCTTTCCTCATCCCCCCTCACATGCCCTGGGGCAGGAGGGACGCACCAAAGACCTTCCGCTTGTTCTTCCGCAGGATGGCGGCCAGGTGCTCTTTGCCCTCCGGCGATTTGAGCCAGTCGGGGACAACCACAGAGCCGGGGGGCACAGACATCTTCACACCAGGGCCCGGGACAGCCCGGCTCTGCTAGGGGTCGTCGGCAGACTCGGCCTGAGAAACAGGAGGGAACTAATTACCAGGACTTGTTACATTTGCCAGCAAATGTGCAAGCAGTAGTCTCTAACCACTGCCCCTGCTGTCCCCAAGCTCTGTGGGGCAGGCCCTGCCTCTCCTGATGCGCCTGGGCAGCATCCAGCTGCTCGGGGCCCAGTTCCCAGCTACGGGGCACCTTGCACACCTGACTGGCTCTCATCCACTGCAAAGGGAGACGGGCGGGTTCGAGGCAGGGCGCTAAAGGGAGCTCAGCAGGACCGGGCTCCATTCGGAGCTCAAGTGCTGGCTGCTCTTAAAGCCAGTCCCTTCCTCTCCCTAGGCCTCCGTTTCCCCATCAGTAAAATGGATGTAAAGATCCTGGTCTGTGTTGCAACATGCTGTGAGATCTGCTGATGTAAAGATCAGGGGCCTGCTATTATCCCAGGAGCAAGGCTTCCACGGCAGAAACGCTGAACGACCGGTCCTTGGCGTGTATCTGTGCTTGAGAGCCGAGGGGCTGCAATGTATGTTCTTTGGTGCATATAAAACAACCCACCGCCAAGACGTGATGCTGGACTCCCTCGATTCATTTGACCCGTGGAAGGTGCTAAACTGAGTGGCCCGGAGAGACGAGCTATCCATCCATCCATTGGACGCTGGCAGCTTTGCTAGTGAACGCTTTGCACTGATGTTAAGTTGCCTTTGTAGGGCCCGTACTCCCAGAAAGCTTCACGCCCAGGCCAGCTTAGCCCTGAAATCAGGCTCCGAGTACTTCGCATAGAAATATCCCAGCAGGATTTGATAAAGCACAGGATTTCGTAACTCCGGGCAAACACGTCGGCAGCACTGGGGGCTCGGAGAAGAAAAAGGCGCCTTTTTGTTTCGCTGGCTTTGGACGGCTTTGATAAGCAGAACTGAAACCCGGCCCCGGCTGCGAGGCGCACCACGGAGGCACATTTAAGACGTGTCGATGCAAACGAAGGAGATAAGGGGAAGCTGTAAGTCGGTAACGTCTTGGCTTGAAAAAGGGGTGAGATAAAGGCCTGAGGTAGAACAGAGACTACTCTGCGAGCGAGGCAGGTACGCACGAAGGATCCCTCGTCCAGCTGCCGCGAGGATGTCCCGGGCGTCCGAGCGGATGGAGAAGCTCGAGCCTGGTCCCGCGGGGACGCGTCCATCTTCCTCCCCGATTGCCGGAGAACGCGGCCCAGATGATGCCCACTGAGCCACCAACCCGACGCTGGCGCATCTTTGAGCGAGTTAGTCTAGAAGGTGCGACGCTTCCTCGCCCTCCGCCCGGCCGGCTCCTGGGTCCTTCCCACGCGCCGCTCCCCAGAAACGGCTGCATTTTGGCTGCAGAAACTCGAGCCGGGCCCATGAAGCGGATAACGCTCCCCTCCACGGGTGCTGCTGACGGGGGTGACGCGGTGGGACCCTGCACCGGGCCCTGGGGCGCGAGGAGCAAGGGGGGAAACTGAGGCAGGGGCAATTAGGGGGAACGGAGGCAGGGGCACTTAAGGGAAAGTGAAGCACAGACTGGGGGAGGCCCTCGCCCTCCCCCTCCCAACACAGCGTCTCCATGGAGACCACAGCCCCGCCCCCTGCCGCGCGGGAGGGGGAAGCGCACCCGCCCCCTTCCCGTTTCTCACCGGCGCTCACTTCCGCCTCGGCGACGTCTGACGTCAGCGCGCACGGCTTAGCCCCGCCCCCACGGCCGAGGCGCATGCGCTAACTCGGCTTCCGGGTGGGCGCACGTGGTTGCTGCAGGCACGTGGTGGGGCCGGTGCTTCCCCTGCCTGAGCTGCTGCTCCGCTTTCTGCTCCCTGCCCCCGCTCTTGCAGCGCTGCCTGGGCCCCGGGCTGGACACGCACGAGCCGTGGGCAGCTTTTTCCCCGGGGCAGCGGCTCGGCAGCCGGCGGGGCCCTTTCTGGCTCTTCTCAAGCCCTTTCTTTCTAACCTCCGAGCTGCGTCTGCTCCCCGCTCTGGTGTCCCAGGGTGGCAGCTGCAGCCTCCAGCTCTTTAACCTTGCACCCGACTGATTTACTGGCCAGGCCCGAGTGCGAAAGCACCTCCACGCGCTGCATCCCTTTTCCTCGACAGTCGCTGCATTTTCTGGATATATATTCCACTGCCCTAATCCTACCGGGCCTCTCGGTACTGCTGTGAGGCAGGTAATAAATCATCCAGATTCTGCAGTTATAACCTGGATTCTGGATATTTTATTACCTCCCACAGCCGTACCTAGAGGGCCACTGGGATCAGAGCGGAGCAGCACAAAGTTTTCACAGCATAAATGCTATGCATCAGATTTAGGTTGTAGCCGTGTTGGTCTAAGGACATAGGCAGACAAGGTTCCTTGGGTGAATTTGATATCTTTTATTAGTTGGTCTAATAAAAGATATCAAATTCACCCAAAGAACCTTGTCTGCCTATGCATCAGAGATGGGTTTTCAGAAGCAGAGTTAAGATACAATCCTTTAAATACCATAATGGGCTAAAACTATGCAGAGCCTCAGTTGATGGAAAAGAAGGGTGAAGAGAGGGGAAAGGTAATTCCCATTTGATTTTTAAATGTATACGAATACAGTGTTTACTCCCCTCTTTAGAATCCAGGCTTGGATGCATTGCAAAGCCTGTCTTTAAGTGCTCATTGCAATGATCTGATATATAAATAGCCCAGAAAAGAAGGCCACATTTGAACTTAGGGTCTGGATCCAACAGATTGCTGTGCCAGGGAGTGCTTAGCCCCTGCAGAAAACTGCTGGCACCCCCAGTGCCAGGATGGTTGCCTGAAAATGCGATCTTACACAAGTTTCTTCATCTGAACAAATGGCCCTGTGCGAGATCGTTCCTTGCAACCTTTCCAAAGGGCATCGAAGGTGTTTAGCTCCCACATCCCACTGAAATGCTGTGCTACGCCTACCTCCCTTCGGCGTCTTTGAAAGGAACCAGCCTATCCTTTTAGAGATGGGGTAAGGCTTTAATAAGCAACGGAGAGACTCATTAAGACAGGAGGTCAAAGGGGCTTCCCTCCCACCTAAGGCATTGAGAAAAGGGCAGGGGAGTGGGGGTGCTGCAGCAGACGTGCAATTCCCACCTCCTGCAAAGAACCTCAGAAAGAAAACGTCCTCGTGTGAGGGGAGGCTGGACACCAACATCCTGTGCCGATAAACGTCACAGAAACTGCCCCTCACGTCAATTTAATTTCCAGATATAACGGTTAATGCCAGTTTTCCTCAGGCTCACAACAATCTCTCGTTAGGACAAGAGGAGAAGCACAAGTGCTCCTATGTAGGAAGAGAACCAGCGCAGGCTGCCAGTCGTGCATGCCCCTAGGTAGGTTTAGACCCAAACATGTGCTGCCATGATCCTTAAAAAAGAAAAAAAAAAAAAAAGTTAAACAGCCATCCATTTATTTGTTTTATTTGTTAAATTGCTAAAAATTCGTTGGGGAGACATTAACAAAAAAATGAAATTTACACAGATTTAAATACCAATGAAGTTCACTTGTCATTCCTACACTGGGATGAACCTAAAATGACTGGCAGGGCAAAGTCATCCTGTACACCTGAGTCAACGGGAAACCTCACTCACAGCACCAGCTACACTGGATCACACTTTGTGCGCGTTACATGGGACCTTTATGTTCAGGGTCGAGACGGGTGGAGGTGAGCAAGGAAATAAAGACCAACATTTCCGTCATTCATAGAGAGACCACTTTGGGAGCCATTTATTTGTAACCATGCAGAACATGCCTTCTGCAACACACACGGGGACACAGGAGGGAAGGGGCCGTTTCTTTCCATTCCTGGTTCCTTCCGCTCCAGTGGGTTGACATGTCCAAATGCAAATGTGCTGGTCGAGAAACCACAAATGAAGCAAAGCAGTGAAACATTACCATGCCAGAATCACCACGAGGACTAGAACGGATGGACGGACGAACTGGGAAGTGATGCGAGCAGCAACGGGAAGACCCCGTGACTTGAACAGTTTCTATTTGGCTTGTGATTGAGACAAAACTATTTTGATCATCGCCCACAGAATTGCTAGAATATTTCCTAGGTTACTTTGTACGGGTTTAGTCTTCTGCTGTACGCCCCACACGATCGAGGGCCGGTGAACAAAATCAAGGGCAAGAGTGCAGAACCCGATCGTGACAGTTCAGCATAAATTTACTAGCGGCATTTGTTTTTTTCACTTCAAGAATTGATATTGGTTTTGCTCTAAAACAACCTTGGGTGAAAGACAAGAGACATGCAAACAAAACGAGTATATTCCGTCCGGTGTATGGAGTGCTGATTAGTTTAGGCAGAGGGACAAGAGGTGGGGGAATCAGATACTGGCTACCACCCTCTCCTCAGGTTAAGTAGTAGAGGTCAACCCAATGCCATTCAGTGTGAGAGGTGCCTCTGTAGCAGTAGAAAGCTTTAAGGTTCAAGGTGGTTGTTTTAAATCCCGATGAAGATACTGTAGGTATTCCTGAGGTCTGGGAGGAAAAAAAAAAGTCTCAAGTCCTTAAGACAAGACTATGTTGATTCAATGCATATCAGGGCTGAAGGACTGCATTTAATAAAGATGATATCTAACACAGCGTGGCAGGGTACTAGAAATAGACCTCACACCCCCCTCAAAGCAGTGATCAGAGCTCAGTGACTTTGCAGGATGGAGGAGAAAGCATGTTTTTACTAAACCCAGCCCAGCGGTAAGAAGCCGACAGCGATTGGATCCGCTTCTCCCATAAAAAAAGATTTTTCAGTCACCTCACCAGACCTTTTGCATTTTCCAACACTGATTTTTGCTTTCAAGATAAGCAGTTTGTGCGCTGAAAAGTCACAGCACGAGGATACCTTCAGCGCCTTTCAAAGGAGGCAAGTTTTACTGGAGGACTGTGACCAAGTACGTGGGCACGGGGGTATTGTTTTGTTTTACTTTTGCAATGACCAGGGCTTTTTAGCCATCAGCTCCAAAGAAACCACTTGGGTTTGTTACACGAACAAATACCCTCTCACGGAGGCCACCGATGAGAAAGAATACAGGGAAACTGAAGAGGAAGGTTTTTCATTTATAAAAGGCTTGTGACTCTAGGCTCGAATATACTGAAATCGGTCTTAAAAGTGAGCACCAAAATGTCCAGCAGAAATCCAGTGGCCTTGTGGGGACAGTTAATCATTAAAACAAAATTATATTGGCAATCTTAAAGAAGCCACTTCATGTTACAGCCAGTACAGTAAGTGGCAGTTACAGTTTCTCCACTGTGCAAGTTCTACTGTGGTTAGGGAACAGCCTTTTTCTGACCACTACTATTACAGATTTCTTATTTTTGATTCTGCTTCAGAAATGCAGGCGGCTGCTAAGCAGTTCCTCAGCATAGGTATAACTGAATCCTCAATAATTAAACGCTACTCTGTTTTAATAGCCTTATGATGTGTATGCAACAGTTCTTAACAGCCCCTGCCAGGGCCAAGCTGCAAGCTATTATGATATAATGAGACGGGGAAAGCAGAGCTTTGTGCTTTAGCGGCAGCATGAGTACAGACCTGCCTCCAGGTGATCGGCGTGTTGGCATCAGTGGGCATTTTTTACGTCTTCACTGTCTAATAAAATACCATGTTCTTCCTGTCGCGCACCCCCGCTTTTCACTCAGTGTTGCCACCTACATGGGGTAGCAACAAATTGAATTTGTCTTCGCGCACTGCATTCGAAGCAGTGATGCCATGCGACGCATATAACTGATTCCAACAGATTTCTTACGGCTCAATCTATTGTATGATGTAAAACAACCCACAAAGCCGCACAAGAATGGCAAGCTTCAGAAGGAGCCAGGATCACATGCTGGTGAAAGTACAACCGCATGGAAAAATTGGAAACTCTCTAAGCTGAGAGCTGATACAGCAGCCCTCAAGCTGAAATAGGAAGGAAAGAATATTCACGCAAAGGCATATGCAGAAATAGCAATTTAGATTTTTTTCAAACTGGATTCTGGTAAGTGTGAACATCACTGGTGATTAATACGGAGGGTGCTAAAACTGGAAGAATTAAGGCCGGTCCAGTGTTTCACTTCAACTGGCTGAAAATCCTTCCAAATGCTACCACTTATTTCAGTGATGGCAGAAACATCTAGTCTACTTCCAAGAGCTTTAAAATATTCAGAGCAAGTGAAGCGGACAGAAAGCACCTTTGATGGAAGCCTAGAGCAGGGAGGGGGCTGCCTTGCGTCAGGCTTCTTTGCTTTGGTTGGTTGGTACAGTGTTTAGTGTTGCTGTGAATTCATTTTAGTTTGTGGTGCGTTATCTGGCAGGATAACCAGTATTGACCAGGAAGTAGAAACGAGTTAAAAAAAAGCAGTAACTGTAAATGGCACATTGAACCAAGCTCTAAGAGAATGTGCTGTTATAATTCAGAAAAACACTTAAGCATGTGCAACCATTAAGCACGTGCACAAGTGTGTTGCTGAACGAGGCTATGCAGGTGTCCTTTCTGTCCCATAAGCTAAAGATGAGCTAAGACATCCCCAGTACTCACTGGAAAAAGTTGTCTGCACGCCTACACGTTTGGAGTTGTGCAGTCATAAGGCAAAAGTTTCTAGAGCAAATTCTTAAGAGAGAACATCGGCATCCAGCTGCTCCATCACCTTGAAGA